TCTTCGTAATCTTCGTCATCGTCTGGGTACTCCACGGTGTTGAACTCGCGCGTGTATTTGTGGGCGATATCGTCAACGTTATCCTGAGCGAAATGCTGGAATTGACAAGAAGGAAAATCGTCAAGAAAGTAGGCAGATTATTGGCCGTGTCACACTAGCACCTTTTCCGTCAATTTTTTGACAATTTTATTTAACATAATTACAAACATTCTCGAATATAGCTCTTGATCTGACTTTGTTTAGCTGAAAAAGTTGTAAGGATTTCAAACGGAAACGATCATTATCGTCTGACTGGAGAATCGACAATTCGCTCAAAATTGGACAAAATTTCAGAAAATTGTCAAAAAATTGACGGAAAAAGTGCTAGTGTGACGGCACCTTAAAGCGACTAGGACATAGACAGCGGATGATGAGATTGGCGGATGAACTAAGGAATAGATGCTCATTAGTGGAGAATACCAGACTAAGATAACAAGAAAGAAGAGGGGAGGAGAATTAAGTGGATAGTCATTTTGGCAGACAGGAACATTGGTGTAAATTGAGGATCATTCTGGTCTCTTAACGAGAATAAAAACAGTGAGAGAGAGAAACAGAAATAGGAACAGAGAGAAAACAGGAAAACCTTTGGAAAATGTCATGAACACCTTACAATCATAATAAATAATATATTGAAATAGTCCTTTTTATCAATAGTTACCAAATTTTCATTGATATGCAATGGCATTTAGAAATCTGAATACATTACGGTGTGCAATAGAAACGATATTTGCGTAAACTACATTACGGTAATAGACAGGTAGACAAATAGAGATAACACAGAGGTATAACTAATATATTGAAATGAAGAACATATTCGTTTTCACATAATTTGCAGAAAAAATAACATGAGATAAGGCAAACAAGTGTTGAGTGATATAATAACATAGTCACCCTTAACTCAAATTGTTGTTTTCATAGAAAATGTAATCATAGAGGAGTAACCAAAGAAAATTATAAGTTGAATATATTTACATAAGGCCAAAAGAAATATTATCAGTGTTATGGATTTCTTCATTGTTATTGTCATTCTCTAATAATTATGTTTAGTAGTAGCAATATAATTGATAATGTCATTATTGTTATTTCTTTTATTATTATCATTATATTGTTGCAGTTATTATATTTTATTATATTTTTTATTATTATTATTATTATTATTATTGTTATTATTGTTATGCATTATTATTTTTTATCCTTATTATCATATTATTATTTTATTATTATTTCCATTACTATTATTATTTTCATCATTGTTATTATTATCATATTATTATTATTATTATTGTTATCATTATCATTATTGTCATTATCAACACAATTGTTATTATTAATATTATTACTACGATTTCAACTACTACTACTGCTACTACGATTAATATCAACGTTATTATTACTACGACTACTTATTATTATCCGTCTTTATTGTCATTGTTATTCATACTATGACTTTTAATCCTCCTCCTCCACATCATCATCATCATCATCATCATCATCATCATCATCATCATCATCCTCCTCCTCCTCCTCCTCCTCCTTCTCACATCATCATCATCATCATCATCATCATCATCATCCCCATCCTCCTCCTCCTCCTCCTTTTCCTCCTCCTCCTCTCCTCCTCATCATCATCCTCTTCCTCCTCCTCTCTCTTCCTCCATCAGCAGCAATCACCATCCTCTTCCTCATCCTCATCCTCTTCCTCATCATCATCATCACCACCACTTAAACAATCAATGACAATGCCACACAAAGTCCTCAGTCTCCACCCTATATAGCAACACCACACACAATACACAACATAGTTCAAGATTCCCTTACCACAAAGTCCTCAGTCTTCACCCTATATAACAACACCACATACACATTACATATTTTATGTCAAGAATCCTCACATATGTCAAGATTCATTTACGTGTGACGACTGATGCCATACCTTTATATCATCCCTGTAATCTGGGCTGTTTGGATCGACCAGAGGATCCTCTCCTGTTGGGGCTTCATCGGCCACAACCGCCCACACCGCAAGGACAACGATCAACATCCATCTGGAATGCATTTAATGGGTTAGTAATGGGTTTCTTTGTGTCATTTGTATTCATTTAATTTTTTGTTTTTATGTTATGTTTTGTGTGTTTTTTTGCTATTGTGTGTAAAGATTATCATCATTTATTTGTATTATTGTTACTTTTATTACAATTATCATCATTATTGTTATTATTGTTATATAATAATGATAATTATCATTATTATTATTACTATTATTCTTATCATTAATATCTTTTAATTATCATTATTATTACTATTATATTATTAAATTTTTTATTATCAAATGTCATTATTGTTATTTTGCTATTGTTTTGTTGTTATATCATTATTATATTATTATCATTATCATTATTATCATTATTATCAGTTTTATTATCATTATTATCATTATCCGTATTACTATTATTACCATAATCATTACTTATTATTATCATTATCACTGTCTTACCAGTACTAGTAGTAGTAGCAGTGTTACCATTCATTATTTAGCTTTATTCCTGCCTGTATCATCACTATTTGTATTTTCTTAGTCATTACAATTATTACCTCCACCAAAAAACTTATGTTTTGGATAGCGTTGGTTGATTAGTTTGTTGGTTGGTTCACAAGATTACTCATATGAACGTCTTTTAAGATTTTTTTTTTTTTTTTTTTTTTTTTTTTTTTTTTTTTTTTTTTTTTTTTTTTTTTTTTTTTTTAGCAGAGGAGTTTCTTAAATGCTATTAAATTCCAATGGGTGATCTGGATCATCGTCCAGATCCAGGAGTTTTTTAGGTGGTTACATCATTTTTGTTTCTTATTTTTAATTCACTTTATTATTGTAGACGTTATTGTTGTTATTCATATTATTATCATTATTGTTGTTATCTTCATCATTATTGATATCATTATCATTATTAGCATCATTATCATTGTTATCATTATCATTGTTATTGCTATTTCTATTATCATTATTGTTGGTACTATTGTTATTATCATTAGAATAGTATTAGTAGCGTTGTTGATGTTCTTATTACTGTCATTATTAATGTCATCATAATTATAATTATTGATGTAATTATCATTATCATTTTGATTATTGTTGTTATCATTATTATTAATAGTTGTTGTAGTAGTAGTAGTAATGTTATTATCAATAATGTTTTTGTTTTTTATCATTCATTGCATTATACTATTATCATTAATATCAATATTACTACCTTTATTATTATGATTATTCATTAGCGTTATCATCATTATTCATCTATTCATATATCATCATCATCATTATTATTATTATATTATTGTTATTCTTGTAATCATTATCATTATTATCATTATCATTATTATCATTTTTTATTATCATTATTTTTGTTACATTATCAATAATAATATTATTATTGTTGTTATAATTATCATCATTATCATTATTGTTGTTTTTGTTATTCTTATTGTTACTATCATAATCATCATTATTATAATCTTAGTGTTATCATTTTATAATATCATTATTATAGTTATATTGTTGTTATTGTTATTATCATTATTATTCTTATTATCATCATCATCACTGTTATCATCATCAATATTGTTACTATTATCATGATTATAATCATTATCATTTGTTGTTGTTTTTTATCATTAATATGAATTTATTATGATTATCATTATTATCATCATCGGTCTTTTGATGTTATTGCTGATTTTATTATAATTTTCAATTATTTTTGTACCATCAATCTTACCTTTTTTGTCGTTAGTATCATTACCATTTTCATAGTGTTTTATAGTGTTTTCACAGTGCGAAAGATCTCTTTTTTATTCTAATCAATATCAGATTTTAATGATAACGACAATGGCATAGATACCTATAGTTTGTCTTGTGTTGCAGTTAAGGATGTATAGTCCTTCAAATTCATAATCCAGTATTTTATAACAATCACTACATAGCATAGCTCAGTGGTAGAGTGCTGGCTTTGCAATCGCATGGTCCTGGGTTCGCGCCCGGCTGTCCCTCTCAGTCGACTCAGCTGTGAATGAGCGCTGGTATGCTGACGTCAGCATACTGGGGTCAAAGCCGGGGTTTAAAGGGACTGGTCACCCTGCCGCATCATCCCGCGGCTTAGTAACCATGTTTCTCTATAAAACATGTCCCTTACGTCCAGATGGATATGGGACCAACTTTGACACAGCAATAACTCTAAATCATGCTGTGTATTCGAATGATAATTAAAGACATGTGATACTGTTTGGTATTGTGAAATTGATATAAGGTAACACGTGCTCTAGAAAAGTGGAACTAGGCTGATCATTTTACCGAAATTGTTCCATGGTGCATGCTTCTCTAAGATAGACCATATCATTCTGTATAAGTACAAATTAGTATACAAATGTCTTTGCTACATGAGTATTGAATATGCAGTAGATACACATATATATGTAAAATTACACACGTACTTTAACGCTTACTTACACACACACACATATATGTTTATATGTATATATATATATATATATATATATATATATATATATATATACCCATATGTATATACGTGTGTGTGTGTGTACCACCAATACCATGGGTCCATAGCTATTAAAGAAAGTGTTAACATGCCTGAGACCTGGCATTACACCCTTCGATTTTCAAATTAGTTGCCATTAGCTAATCGTGTGCCAAGGGTCCTCACAGAACAGAATCCGTGCATGAAATAGTGTGGCAGCTTTACAGATATCCTTCAAAACTTGTATGCACTTTAATTCAGTCACATTACATGCCATAACGTTCAAACTGCGCATGTGTATATATTTCTTTAGCCGTGAGGTTTATTACCCCCCCCCCAAAAAAAAAAAAATAATAATAATAATAATAATGATAAAATAAAAATAAAAAATTAAAATCCATTTATCCTCAGGCAATATTGATAAGACTTTGAATATCTTGTGTATAAATGATCTTCCTGTGTTAGAAAGATCATGGCTTAAAAAATACACTATGATACCTTGAACGTGTGCGATTTGAAGACCGCAGTACACACATTAACACACATTAACTACAAAACATTCATGTCGTGAATGAAGCTTCGAAACTAAACGAAGGTTGTGTTAAATGGGTTTTTTTTTACAACTTCATGGTAGGGTCTTTCAAAGTAAGATTCGAGACCCGTTACTGGATTACAAGCACATGTAAAGTTGGTCGCCACATAATACGTACAATGATAGTAATGATGATGATAATGATATCAATAATACATTTGAACCTATCTATCAATCTATCTATCTATCATCTATCTCTATATCATCTATCTATCTATCTATCTATCTATCTATCTATCTATCTATCTATCTATCTATATCTATCTATCTATCTATCTATCTATCTATCTATCTATCTATCTATATCTATCTATCTATCTATCTATCTATCTATCTATCTATCTATCTATCTATCTATCTATCTATCTATCTATCTATCTATCTATCTATCTATATGAACAGATACCGAGTTGAGAGAAAGGCACGATAGAAGGATATACTGGGACGTGAAGGTGAAATAAGGTCCTATTTTGCGGGGGGGGGGGGGGGGGATAGACACCGTCATTGTGTTTCAGAATGAATATGATCACACAAACACATACACATATGTATTTATATATCTATATATATTGATACATGTATTCATATATGTATAAAATATATAATACATATATGCATATATGTGTGCGTGTGTGTGTGTGTATGTATGCGCATATATATGTATATATACATGTATGTATGTGTATATTTATAAATACCTATATATGTGTATATATATATATATATATATATATATATATATATATATATATATATATATATATATATATGTATGTATGTATGTATGTATATACACAGACACACCAGTACGATATTTAGAGTATTCACTTTCTAGAATCAAAAATAATAATAGCATCCGATTAAACTCCCTGATAAAGGGTGTAAGTGTCCCTGTTTCCCAGAAGTAGCCCTAGGACAGGAGACCACGTACCTCATCGCCATGGCTATCCGAGTATTTAGTCTTCACTCTTCGGTCTCAGGAAATCGGTGTTTGGAAACGGCCATACACTCAGCAAAGGTCCGGCACAGGTTTAAAGGCCTTTATATATATACGTGCATTTGTGTGTACATATAAAGGCCAAGCACACGAGTGGTGAAGGACGGTCCACGTTGTACGGAAGGACGTTGTACAGACCACGGTGGCGCTCCAGTATTGTTGTGTAAACCTGACGTGTTACAGTGGCAGAGAGACACGACTGTTGAGGGAGAGAGCACCGGCTTGTACAGGTGTTCGAGACACTTGTGTTTTTCCCCGTGTGTTGTGGGGATGGTAAAATATTGTGGCGTGTGTGTGGGCTTTGTCGGGGCTATTGTTCGAAGGGGCTTTTCAGATCTTCGCTCTCTTTCTGTTTGCTATGCCTCTCTTCCTCCATCAATTCTCTTTTGCTTTCTCTCTCATCTTGTTTATTTCATTATCATTATGATTATTACCATTATTTTATTCTTATTACCGTTTTTTATCATCGTCATTATTATTATCATTATTATTATTATATTTTGCTTTCTCTCTCATGATTTTATTATTATTATTATTATTATTATTATTATTATTATTACCGTTTTTTGTTCTTATTACCGTTTTTTATCATTATTATTATTATCATCATTATCATCATTATTATTATTATTATTATTATTATTATTATTACGATCAATATTGTTGTTAGCAATAGTATCATTACCATTATTGTTATCTTTATTGGTATTATTATTATTATTTATTGTATAACGATAATCATCAATGTTATCATGATTTTTATTATTACTATGCTTAGTAGTTTTGTTATAATTATCATAATTGTTATTATTATCGGTATTAATGCTATTACCATTATCATCATCATTATCATTATTGTTATTATTATCATTATCATCGTCATTATCATTATTGTTATTATTATCATTATCATTATCATTTCATATCTTTTATTATTAATATCATTATCGTTATTATCAGCATTAACACTGTTGTTGCTGTAATACTCAGTAAAAGCGTCATTTCAGATACCCTCCGTATTATTTTTGTTATCATTATCAATCATATCAATATATTTATCATTAGCATGATTAAATGATGCTATTATTATCCATCATTGATATCGTTGCCTTTTTTATGAATACTATTATCAACATAATCACCTGTTTTCTTAGATATTGACTAATTTATAATTTGCACTTCGTTGTATTGTCAATTCGCAACAACACAGTTAAGTGTTGTAAGAGTTTCTTCATATATTAGCTTTGTTTTGTTATGTTTGTGTTACACTCGATATTTTGCTACGTGGTAAGTCCTTATCCGATTTTTGCGCCGATCAATAAATATTTTTGTTGGAATTGAAG